GGTTTAGCCCCCGCCCCATACCTCTATGTATAGTCCCCCTTAAGTAGATGTAGGGGTTATAGGCAGTTATAGGGGTTATATTGGGATAATGGAAAAGAAAATGGAAGCTACTGTTTAGGGTTTAGGGTATAGTCCCCCTTAAGTAGATAGAATATGGGGGTTTGTGGGATCTTATTATAATATCCCCAAGCCATATTCTATCTACTTAAGGGGGACTAAAACTCCATCATCCCCACATGATTCCCACATAGCCTCTATGTAACCCAATGAGTTTTATTTAGCTTCCAGGAGTGTCCAGGAGACCATGTGAGCAGCGGCTTCAAGGGCGGCAGACGATTGTTGTTTTCTTTTCTGATGTACATAAAACAGTGGCTCGGCTCTTGTAGAACAAAATTTTACATTTTTATGGATACCTGGGCCCCATATCAAGAAAAAAAATCGTTTTTAAATTGTACTTCAACAAGAACAGGTGGCACGTGCGGTAATGTGTGAAGAGCTTGTTTGCACTTCTACGCAGGCGAGATCCGCAACATCCACGTGCTTGGCCCTTGGCAGGTTCTATTGTTGATGTTGAGAAGGACCACTGGACTGTCCAACTTCAACCTTGCAAACGGGTTTGTCGAGGCGTTTGCAGAAACTCGTTTACTGATTTACAGAGTGCCATTCTCCTCATTCCGTTGACAGCAACCTAGCAAAAACCAAGTAGGTGGCGGCGGCTAAGTGCTTCTACCACGATTCGGAAAGCTAGCCGTTTCTGGCGTTCCGATACAACTGCGTGAGACTACCTATGGCATGCATGCGCACTCCTCAAGCGAACGGTCTCAGGTTGGGAATCATCAACGGCAACCTCGTCGTCAGTTTTCAGGGTTCAGGCATGCTGCTCTCTAGCAGCTGGCACGGAAGCACTTATTCCAAGAGGTCAGGAGAGTCTAATTCGGTCCCAGCTGATGAATAGGTCGGATTGCAAACTAAGACAACGACTTTACTTTACACTCATGTTACAACCCCCACCAACCGCACAAATAGTACCCGGACTAGTACTGTAGCAGCAACCGCAGTCGCGGTGGCAGTTGTGGCGCTGGTGCTCGTGTGCTGGCAGCCACAGTAGCAGTGGTAGTAAGTTGATAACGATCTGTGGCAAGGCCGCGTCCGTGTCTTTGTCAACAACGAGCACAGCCGCGGCCGCAGTCCATAACCCGCTCCCGCTCGTATTGGGGTGTCGGGCAGGATTTACCATTTCAGGCAGGTAGGATTCTTACCAAAGGGCGGCAGGGGATGGGGGATCGGCGCCTCGGCTTCATCTTCTAGTCGGTTCTTTGGAATCATAGCGTCCGGATGTTTGTCATCGGATGCGGATGTATGGCATCAAGAAGAGTTTCGTTGGTTCGGAGTTTTATTCGAAGTCAGCTGACCGAGAGCTATTGCTGACTGTGTTTTAGTCAAGGCTCGACTACAAAACTCTTGGACAGCACGCTACAAATTCGGAAACCACAAATCCCATGGATACTGGAAAGAAAGCTGCAGACCGATCTCATTGTTCGATGCACCTCAAGCCAATCCAAAATTCCTGCAGAGCAACCCCTTGCAAAAGGATCAGCTTCCATGTAGGCTTGGACAAGCAGTCAGCTTGGTGCTGCTACTCCCATATCACCGATGCAGTTTGGCATCACTCGTATAGAGCCCCTTCCGGAGAAATATCGTCGCCCTTCGAAGAGAGATTAAGGGCTTGAGATTTTCTCACCAAATCTCGAGACCTGCCACAATTAAACTTGTGAAGTGCAATCAAAGAACAAAGAAACCATCATCTCAGTCCACGTCACCTTGCCAAGAAACCGCATAAGGCTTTGGAGAGTGAAAAGAGAAAGACTGTAGGCCTGGAGCTCCCAGAGACCAATCGACTTGGTAGCACTTCACCTTTCGGCGGGGCCCCAAGCTTTTCAGGGAACCTGAGGTTCAATCACAAGGTTGGCAGGGACCCCGGCCAGTAACTACAACACGCAGAGGGGCAAAGTTTAGCAACGACCCTTATGGCATCGAGTGGTGTGGGCTTGCATCTGAAGGTGGTGGTTGAGGGTACCATGGTCTGATTTTACTCTTGTGGCGAGGTTGGGGCCTTCATCTCCGCAACGTCACTCTTAACTTCTGTCAAAGCAACAGTGCTGTGATACATGGCCATGACCAGAATGCAGTGGAGCATGTTGTTTTCATTGTACAGATTAATGTCACTCTAGTATGGCCCTGCTGGCTATTTCGGTGAATCTTCTGTAGCTGGTACCTCTAAGCATGTTTGGGGGTGAGAATTAGCAGTTAGCAGGACCTCTTGCGCATTGGAAACCTAAAACTATCCCTTTGCCAAAGAATAACAACTTGATTTAGAAGCTTGCAAACTCTAAACTTACTACTTTTAGCACAAAAGACATCAAGTAAGTTACAAACAGTTGGGATACCTTGCCCAAGCCCGGAATTTTCATTTTATGACATGAGAGAAGGTAGCCGTACAAAAGAGCGCCACATTATCGGAATCAGCCTTGATGCTATGATGCTGATTTCAATGAGAAGGCCGAGTAAGCACCTCCCGCTGATAATGGACCCCCTCACCCCCGATGATAAGTATTGCCCCGAACATAGACGTAAGGGCGGATTTTTTAGGAGCGGGGATAAATAGGAATGAAAACTAGTGCAATGGCAACAGAAAAGCTGCAAGATCGATACCTGGCAGTAAACAGCTTACGGCAGCATCCCCACAAGCAATGGCCAGCACTAGAAAGGAGGAGTGCAGCCCCCCTAGTATTTCATAGAACCATCTCAAGAGTCCCATGACCCAGTTCCTGCAGTGCGCCATCAAGCTTTTGCTGGTTGAGATCCTGAGGTGTGGATTGGGCCAAGAAGTACAGCCCAGTCCTAAGCAAGGAACGTTCCAACACGTTCCGTTCATCGAAGAGGGACTCAAGGGTTTGGGGCTCTACAAGTAACAACAGAAGCAGCATAAGCAGCAGCAGTAGCAACCATAGGAGAAACCGTAAATTTGAGAAGTAGCAGAATATAGTGAGAACATCACTGCTCAAGCGAAAGGATATGTTTAGTACGCAGATTGTCCTCCCTTGCCAGCGTACTCTTGACGGACCAAGCCTCTAACCACAGATGGTAAATCCTTGCTGCCTTGCATTCTTGAGGGACCTAGATTGATCCATGCAAGTACATCATCAAATCAAATGATGTCAAGGTTGGCCACCGTAACCAAAATCATGGCAGCTATGGCTGAAGACGACTTTGGATTGACAAGCAGCTTCCGCCCGGCCCGTAATTAGAGGATCCATTGTATTGTTGGATCCTTGGAACCACTTGAACCCTACTATATTATAACCTTAGGGTAGATATAGGGGTCATGGAAAAGAAAATGGAAACTACTATAGAGATTGCTAAGCAGAGCCAAGGCAAGTACGTCATCAACAGCCGCGGCCTGCGTTTCGCAGAGTTCGTCCTAAAGGCATTGCCTGCCCAGGCCAGGCTGAATGTTTTCAAGTTGCTCAGATTCGCTTGTAATATGTAGGCATATAGTCCCCCTTGAGTACAGTAGTTAGAATATAAGGGTTATATTGGGATAATGGAAAAGAAAATGGAAACTACTCTTTTTGGGGTGTAGGGTTTAGGTCCCCCCCGAAGTAGATAGAATATGGCTTTGGGTATGCTATAATAAGATCCCCATATATCCCTTATTCTATCTACTTAAGGTGAACTACATGTAGGCATAGTAAAGGCAGTAGCAGAATCCCATGTAGGGTTTGGTGGGATGCCTCGAGGCAGTCTCATATACCCGGAAAAGACATGAAATGGCTTATGTAGGTTTCATGGAGTTGCCGAAGGTTTCATACGATTGCTTTATCTCCTGTCCCACACACCTGGTAGTGTCCCAAAACAAGGGGACCCCAAAATAGACCCCAATACATTATCATCCTTACTATGGGGATCCCACAATTGTAAGAAACCCCACCTGTCTGCTGCCTGGACCCAACCAGCTTTGGCACTAGTTAGGAATAAGAACAGAAGTAGTAATGGTGTCAGATCTTGGTCGTTGGAGAGACGGCGCCGTCTGACGAGAAGCTCATTCCAGCATCTAAACCCATCATCGAGGCGGGCGCGTGTAGGCCGCGAAGCAGAAAAACCCAGACTTTCCACTGACCCGGTGAGCTTTGAGGCTCCTTCGGTTCGAAAAGCTATGGCCCCCGAAACATGGATAGAATATCGGGTATATGGGGACGCTATTCTGATTTTGGAGAATTCCATATTCTACCTTCCTAAGTGGACCACAAGCTGCAGTTGTTGTCCCCCTTAAGTGGCTATAGGGCTTATAGGGGATGTATTGGGATAATGGAAAAGAAAATGGAAGGAAACTACTATTTAGGGTTTATGGGGTTTAGGTTGAATGATTTCAGTTTCCGGATAGGCGAGCATCAGGATTTGGAGCCTTTTTCTGGCCACGTCAAGGTCAGGGCTCCGCTTTGGTCCCTCCCCACCCATTTACCTAGCATGCTTCAAATTCACAGCAAAGGATGCCCAAGTGTTAATTTTTTGTGGGGGACTTTCGTATTCGCTGTCTGGACAGCAAGAATAATTTCACTTCGCGGTCCGAGCGTAGGCTTAGGGCACGAAATTGCTTTCGCCGCAGCCGAGCCAGATCAGGCTTCACGAAATTTGAGGCCCAGACGGAAAAGTTCAGCAGCACCAGCTGCTGCCAGTGAATACTTTGATACTGGAGGAAGTCTTACGCAATCCAAAGGACCCCACTGCTGAGAACCAGTGCAGTCAGGCTTTGCTTGCTTGGCAAGATGTAGATCGGCAGCATCACACTCCAACTACAGATGCCAACGGGAGAATCCCTTATCATCGCCGCAAGCACCGAACAAGTAAAGATTGCCAAGTCCATATAGTCACATCCCACAAAATTAGAGGCCATCTCATCTCACCAGTACATCGACTGATAGGCTGAAGTCTCACCCACCATGTTGGATGCTTCTTCGTTCGGCGTGGTCTGCGTCAAAGTACGCACTGCCAATGAGCCTCGAGAAGATTGAACAGCAGGGGTACAGGAGACACAGGCTCAAGATCGGGGAGGTTGGGACTTCGGACCTCCCTGTTGAGTTGGGCAAAGTTCTCACTTTGGAACTCCACTACCTGATCCCCTCGTCGAACGGCTTTTCATTCAGAGCATGGGTGGTCACCAAACTGGCCATAACACACTTCTGTTGTCTTGCGAATCCCTGGCCAGCCCAGGCACAAATTGCAAAAGCTTAAGCAACGTACCCTCATCTCATATCATGGTTCGCATGATCCCTCCCATGTGAGGCAATTCCTACTGAAGTTCATCATTCATATCATGGTACTATCTCATATGGCTTGTCACGTGGCCGCATTGTCCTCGTCATTCTTCCCGAATAACAGGTTTAGGTTGTAGCGGTAACACTGACAATACAGCCACTCGGGTGAGCGACATCCGAGAAACCTACGCACAAGCAAAAGCACCTTACAGAGCTTATCTCAGGATCTGAAGCTGATCATGGACGCGCTCACACCTGTCACTCGACCAAAACAACCATCCTTCTGCTTAGGCAGACAGCGAGATGCCCATAATCGTCAATGGGCCCCCATCCTCTTCTCTGAACCCTGTAAAGTAGCCTGCAGGAGTCCAGTTCCATTTTGGCTGCAGGCATTCCTAACATCTTCCTTCGATTCAAAACTGCAGAAATTCACAAGCGTTGTCTTTATGACCAAGAAGAACCAAATCCCTGCTATTGCAACGCGGAAAGCAGGTCACCAAGTAGGCCTTGCGATAAAATGTGACGACTCTGCTATTGCTGCTGGCTAGTGGAATTTGAGGGTATCTACTAGGGGTCTACTAGGAAAAAGATTATGTATGCGTTGCTTCCTTGTCATGTTGATGTTCTCGAAAGTATGGTTCTTGTAGCACCCTCCTGGAAATAAGGATCTGAATGAACATTACTTCCAGCCCTAAGACCTTTGAAACTTCATGACGGCTGCCGGTCTGCTGGTAACATGCTGGCACTACAGCTAGCCTGGATGCTCTCAGCACTCTGATAAGACTTTGGGGTCACGCACCAATTAGCTGTTGTGGCTGCAGAACAAAGAGGTGCAATGGCAAAACCCGGAGCAGCAGCAGCAGCAGCAGCAGCAGCAGCAGAGCTTGCACGATGACAGCCACCGCTTCTTGCCCTCCTCATGCACTTACCCTAGGCATAGCCTTTGCGAGAACCAGAGGATAACTACGCCCTACGCCGCCCTAAGCAGTTAGCGTAGTGGTGTAGAGTTGTGCAGCGGCGTTCCATTTCTGGAACAAGGAGCTCACGTTGACGCAGGACCTGATCATCAACGACAAGGCCAGGAATCGCACAGTTGTTACCCAGACATGATCACGCAAAAAAAGACGGCTCCGATGAGGGTGCAAACTTTGAATTCTTTTTGTGAGGGCAGTCTTTCCGTGATGGTGCTTGGCATCCAGCAAACTCTTTCAGACACGAGACATGTAGTAGAAATGCCTGTATGCTTTCCTGCAAATATACTTCTCCAGTGTGTGTATCTCACCTAGTGCTAATCCCCTTAACCTCAACGTGTAACAGGCTGCATGAATACACAGCGTACCCTTCCTGAATGGACTTCATTTCTTCATTTGGGGTTGAATGGCCGCACTCACATGTTGCCCTCAGCCTCCACCTTAGGCCCGCACTGCAGCACGCGCATTGTGACCTTAAGTGCAACCCAAAGCACGCAGTTTTCACCTCAGCCCATACCTTATGAACTGTGGTAGGAGTACATAGGGCACAACAGGCGCATGCTTACAAAGTATTCAGGCATGCAGTATGGATTTGGTGTGGGAGCGATCAAAGCTGGGGACTTGACTTGTAGTCGTTTAGGATGAAATTCAGGGCGTTGTATGTGCAACTCTAGCTACACCTGCTCAGTTGCCAAGATTCATGCTCGGATTGTACACAAATCACTGAGAGAACCTGTTCTGTTTTGCAGCCAACATACTAGATAGTAATTAGGGATCTTCACTGTTTTGGTCTTGTGGAAAGAAGCATTATTGTTAGTACTATTATTATTACTATTACTACTACTATTACTATTAATATTACTATTACTACTAGTATTATTATTACTTATTATTATTCCTATCACCATTACTAGTACCATGGCGCCTGATCCCAGCAGCCAGGTCCTGGAAGAAGGCAAGCAGCTTGGGCTCTTGGGCAAGGAGCCGACAGCCGAGATACAGGGGAGAGAAGCGCATATGAGTGGTTATCAAAATTATGGGTACCATTTTGGGGTCCCCATAATAAGGACTATAGTACTTTGGGGTCTATATTTGGGGTACCCTAATTTTGGGAAACTACCATATCTGCTAGGAGCCACGAACCCGAATGCCAGCACACGTCACGGACGTCACGTCACGTACATGGCGAAGATAGCAGGTGCAACGCACGACAAACTCAAAGCTCAGTTGTTTGACGATCAACCTGTATCATATCCCTTACCCTCACTGTGGCACGAAAACACAATCACGAACACGACCGACGCGACGCACGACACGAGGACACCAAGACAAAGACACGACACGAGGAGCCAACACGAGACACGTTCCGAAGACAAAAGGACCACAGAGGAAGTGACGAGGATACGACGCAAAGATACGACGCGAGACTAGGACACAGCACGAACACGAAGGACACGACATGAAGGCGCGAGGACACGACGCAAGGATACAAAATGACACGAGGTCACGGCGCGAGACACTGCACGAAGGCACGGTACAAACGAGACGGACACGAGGCTCCAAAAGCGGCAACAGTTTCGAGGACGGCGACCCCGACACGCCCCATCCCCGTGACTGTTGACACTTTTGACGCGCAACAATGCAAGGGCTCTCCGAAAGAGACGACACGTACGAGGATGGAGACCACAACACGTCCCATCCTCGTGACTGCTGGCATCTGCTTGCGCTTTTCGTACGCGTTAAGAAGACGAAGGTCAAAAAGCGAGAAAAAGTGACGACGGTTACGCGGATCGTGACCCCCAGGCACGCCATCTCTGTGACAGGCCCAGAAGTGACGACATTCACACGAATCGCGGCCCAGGTGCCAAATCCTGGTGAGTGCAGGCACTTTTGTCGGGGCCTGCAGCCGGGTCGCAACCCTCGCGGATGCCTTGCGAACGCTTGCAGATGCTTTGCGAACACAATGACTATAGTCACCTCCTAGGCCCCTGGACCCCAACCTTTAAACTGGAACCTTTCTGCAAAGCATTTGCCATGAAAATGTTATTCTCCAACTAAACGGGGAGTTCCAAAAATGAGTTTTTGGGGTCCCCACAACAAGATTTCCCGTAGATTGGCGGTCACCTCTTCATGTAAACCCCCAAATGTTGCGGAAAGCACATCTACCTAATTATTCCGTAAACGCACTAGGCGTACAGGGCTGTCATGTGGGAAATGTTGTTGGCTGATGTCAGTTTACATCTTGCTGAAAGAGTTCTTCTGACAGCCCAGCGTGCACATGAGTTGGCTTGAGATCCAGATGTCCTTGCAAGGTCATAGTCAGTAGGGACCCTAGAGGAGCTTTGTAGATCCAAGTGGAGTTGGTGTAACTAAAGCTCCGGCCGTGCTACAACGGGGCTAGCATAGCCTCAAGAGCCCCGCGAAGTTGCGAGGAGATGGTTGACTCGCGCATGCATCATGGCTGAAACCAGACATGGGCAGGTCCAACGCAATGGTGTTCCCCTTATCTACTCCCAAACCCGTTGTTGGAGATCCATTTTTCACTTAACTTAGGGTCTGCAATAGCTTCAAGGACTTTAAGCTCGCTGCCCTTGAGTCCTCGGCCGACCAGAAAGATAACACACGCAAGAGCCTGCGTCAAACGCAGGTACGTGATGCACATGATTCTAAGCCGGAAGGAAACTGATGACTCACTCCCCGACTTTGCTTTTCTGCCTTGACAAATACTAGCCTTACTAGCCCACATTCAATCCGCGCATCTTTTTGTCCAGTGCTTCTGAGTTCGAGCACGTATGGAGATTGAGACAGGTAGAAACTGATTCCCTTTGTGGATCCAACTCACGTACTGAAGAAGAGCTTGAACAGAACACAGCATAGGGTTCAGGCAAGTCTTCTTTTGCTGGATAGACGTGAATGTGGTCAAAACTTCGCGGAATCTCTCACAGTCTGAGTCAGAAAGGACCCCTGTTTGGGACAGGGGACAGGTATCCCAGCTTATTCCCAAAAGCCCTTGATAATTACTTGCTGTTTTGTTGTATGGTTCTGATATTTCGGAAATTTTCAGATCCGCAGAAACCGAGCTTTTTTCTTCTAAGAAAACTTTCCACCTGGACGGATTCCCAACACTCACGCCCTAGGCTGCTCTTCTGTAGGATCCCTGATACGGGCTGGCAGAACAGTGGTGATAGTCGTTCACGCTCTATTTGCTCCCACTGTCACGAGCTATCCTTCTCTGAGCATGTTTGCCATTGTGACCAGAAAAACTTGCTGCCCGGCATGACTGCTCCACCTGAAGCCCAAAAACATGAAACCCAATATGTGAGCATTGAAACCCGAAGCATTACGTAGACCCTCCACCATATGTACTATTACATGTGTGTATATTCACATCTTATACCCAACCCATAGCTTTCTTCAAACTCTGAAAGCCTCAATATACACACACACACACACACCATCCCACTGCTGAGGCAGCTCGAGCAGTTAATCTCAGAGGCCCACAACCTGGACGAGCAAGGGAGGCAGGATCCTCAGCTACTCACAGTTTTGGCTGGAGTTTAGAAATGCTAGATGATGCGTAGGTTTTTCCCTTAGGGTTTGGGGCAAAAGCAGAAGAGAGATTTATTCGGGATCCCCAATGGCAACTGGAATTCTCTTTCCCCATGTAGAACCCTCGAGAAACTTCAGTGGAAGCAGCGAGAGCAACCATGATGGTTAAGGCCTAAAGTGTTTTCCCTGTATGGCCGCTTTGCTGCGGACAGGAGCCGAACAAGGAGGCTTCTGTGATCATTACCGGTTAGGAGGACCCCCTACCCTGTACTGGTGGCGATAACGGATAATAGTGATTATATTAGGGCCCTCTTGTATTCCCATTATACCACTATTACAGCGCGGGGGGAGTTCCTCCTGAATTACCAGCAGTGCAACAGAAAGTTGGAGAAACCAACTCATAGTAACCCGCCTACCGGATCTCAGCCCTAGCAACTACTGACTTTGGCTGGCTGGGAATGAAGAAGTGGAAACGAAAATGGCAACTACTATAATGGGTCTGGGGCTTGGAAGGAATGGAGAAGAAAATGGAAACGATTTTGATGGGATTACAGGGACTATGATAAGGATCCATTCCTCCCTTCCTAGCTAACCCAAAGGCCAGACTGTTATCCACGGCGCTCCACTAGCCCCTCATGGCTCTCATGGGAGGGCTCTGCCCAATGGCCTTCTTTGCCTTCGAATGAACAGCAACCTTGCCCCCAAGACCTTGGCATCCAAGGTTCCTCCTTCTAGAACAAGAGCAATGATAATGGTAATAGGAGTAGTAATACTTACAGTAATAGTAATGGCTATCATAGTAGTTATGCTCATAGTAATAGCAATGGTAGTAATGATAGTAGAAACACCAATAGTAATATCAGTGTGAATTCTTCCGTGCCTCAGCTGATTGCTTTTTCTGGCTTCCTGCACTCAGGTATGACCCTGTCATCGACATGTCCTTCTTGAATATGTCATCCATGAAAGCCGCCTGGTTGAATTTCTTGCTATTTGTGGTTTCTGCTGCCTGCATTTGCCCTCGAGAAGTGCTTTTGAATTGCAACACTGACAAAGCGCTTCGGGCATATGTCGAACGGAGACTCCTGCATTGACAGCAGAAGTCTTTCGTGTCTGCTTGCTAGGGTCCCCTAATTTTGGAAGCGAAGCACTGGCCCCGACAAGAGTTGCATGCCTTCCGCCTAGGTTTGCCAACGCGGACCCAGTCAACCCTTGCTTCTGCAAACGGTAATTTCCCAAAATAACGGGAAACCCAATATAGACCACAACTACTATACAATAAACCTTAGTATAGGGACGCCCCAACAAGGTACCACGAATTTTGGGAAACTCCCAAATCTGGAGCCAAGGACAGCTGCAGTCAGATCCAGAAGCAGATGCAAAAGCAGGAGGAAGACAAAAGAAAGCAGGACAGGGGCTTATAGTCCCCCTTAAGTAGATAGAACTTGGCGTAGATAGAACATGGCTTTGGGTATATTCTAATCAAATCCCCATATACCCCATATTCTATCTACTTAAGGGGGGCTTAGGGGTGTGAGACCGCAGTGAAGCCCACGCCCCAGAACCCGCAGCCCTCAGTATTCTTTGGAAAGCTCCTCCAGTCGTCGATGTCTTCCCGTTGCACCAAGAAGTGTGCACCTGCGACGAGCCTCCAGGCCATAGCAAGCCATGCAAGCAAACAGCAGATGAAGAAACACGGGTGATGATTTTTTAGACACGAAGTATTCAAGCTGGAAGTCACGTCTGGCAGCCGTTTCCAGCTAGCCTATACGAAACGGGCAGTGACAATGCTTCCACTGTGCAAATTACCCACTGCCCACCGTACCCATGTCATGTCGGGTGCACCATGTAAGCTACTGCCTGCGCTCTTTGAGCCGTGTAGCCCCGGAGAGATAGGTTGAGTCTTGGCCTTGCTAGGTCGTTAGGCTGGGCTCGATATATTTATTTTCTTGCCCCTCGTCGGCCAGACTTTATCTGTGTCCCTATGGCCTGCGGTCAGTTCCCAAGACCCCTCGGCCTGGACTTGAAAGCATCAGGGAGGAAAACGGTGTCATCACGTTTATTGTCACCTTGATGCTCAGCATCGTCCTATCACACGGTTGTAGGTATTACAGGTGACCAGATTCTTCGGTGAAATTTTTTGTCACGTAGCACAGGAGCAAGCTCAACTCCAAGCAGAGCTTGATGAAGAGGCGCGGCTGCGAGAAAAGGTAAGTTCCTTCAATAGGGAACCCCAATACAGAGCCCAAAATACTACATCCCTTCCATGAGTCATTTCCTAGGCCTCCTGTGGAACATGTTATTTGATCCATTGTCTTTCCTCCTCAAAGGCTGTTCTAAAAGGGATTATATTTTGTATAGGGGACCACCACATGGGGTAAAGTCCTTACAGGGGATTAGGGATTATACGGGGGACTACCATGAGGGTAAACTCCTTGAAGGGGTCTTAACGGGATTTATAGAAAAGATTCTATAGGGAATACTACGGGGGTAAACTCCTTAAAGGTTTTTATATCAGGGGTTCCATAAGGACTTCCGGAAAACTCCGTAAAGGGGGTTATAAAGAAGTATATATTTCTTTATAAAAGGAATTATTATATGGGTACAGTCCAAAAAGGGGGTTATAGCAGGGATGATATATGGGACTATTACAAGGGTAAACTCCGTAAAGGGGTGTTAAATCAGAGGTTAAATGGGGATTACTATTGGGGTAACTCCATAAAGGGTGTTTTATGAGGGATACATAGGGGACCACTATGGGGGTAACCTCCTCAAAGGGTGAGTTGAGACTATGGCTAAAATAGGGGCATCGTAGTTACACAATGATACAGGACTTAGTGCATGTGTATGGCTTCTGAAGGCGGTGAGGCATAGGGCTTACAGAATGATCTGCAGCTGCTGCTTTCATACAAAAGGCAACAAACATGAACAGGCTAAGTACACGGAGGCTGACTCTAGTTCGAAGTGAACAGGGCCACCAAACGGCACTGAAGCTCATATGCGTGTTTCAGCCAGACGCCTTTATCTCCAAGCCTCGCGCTCCCCCTGCTGCAGAGGACATGCGAGAAGACAAGCAACTTCTGGAGGAAGCTGGCGATCTATCGTACAAGATACCCAAGATGCTCGGCTGAAGACTTTCTGTGCTGTTTTCAATGTCTCAGTGACATGTAGAGTTCATGATGTGAGGTCTAGAAGGGTTAATGTCTTTTCAAGGACAACATTTGCTTCCAAGCATGTCTCCCCATGTTGTCACCACCCGAGCATGCGCTGAGCCACGAATGTCAGCACGGCATGAAAAGCAGAAGAAGCGGATTGCTCTAGTTCAGCCGCTCGCGCATTGAGGCGAGAATGGGACAGCCAGTTCGTGCAGGAGATTTTGGCTCACCACAGCTTCTACCCATCATCACTCTTGATGTTCGACAAGGGTGGATGAAGGGATTTGCAAGGAATTCCTGCGTGCTTTCGCAACATTCTATGCAGATTCCAGGCTTTAGAGGGCACAGTGGGCACACTGGTTGTACTCTCCGAGTAGGACGAAGGGGCCCAAGCCATCCAATATGGATCTGAGACAGGATGGAATGACAACCCAGCATTGATTGACGTGATCTATAGTCTTTACTCCTTAAAAGGAGGGGTTATTATATACGGGATTATATGGCAACTACTATAGGGGTCGTGATACCAGGAGTTTAGACTATGGCCCATGTGTTGTTGCTGGTTGTTGGGGAAGTCTTTACGCGTGTGATCTATCTCCTCGGAGGAACAAAAGAACTTCTGAGGTCCATCTAGGAACCATACTTCATGTCGGTCATTCTAGGTTCTAAGGTAGTGTATATGGTGGGATTCTCCAAGTTATGGGTGCTGAGCAAGCAGACGGCACCGATGCTTGGAGTCAGTGACAGTACAGTGTGCATGTTTTGCTACAATGTGGCATGAGCATGAAGCTAACATCCTTTTGGGCCTTGCCTTGTAAAACTGAATCATTTGTGGCCGTATCCTGACTGCCTATGGCTGCTCCGCCGAAATCAGTACAACCTCAACCAAAACCCTGCAACTCCAACACCTGGCCCGCAAACGGGTCCGAAGCGGCAATACCAGGCCCGGACCCAATCACCGAAACCCGAAGGCCTCGACTCGAACTGTAAGCCCACCAGGACAGCAGCCCTCAAAAAGTGGCCAGCGGCAGACCCAACCTCGAGGCCAAGACCACGGAGAAGCGAGCCTCATCGTAAAGCTGCAGGTTCCAAGTTCCAGGGTCCAAGGTTTTGCTGAGAAGGCTAGGCCCTCCCACAGGGCTGTTTTGGGGCGTGTTGTGCGTTTCCAGCGCGGTGAATAATCCCCCAGAAAAAGAACTACATTGAAAGGTCTGGTCAGTGGTGAAGAATTATGAGCGCATTGCTGTGACCGCTTTTTACATGTTCACTTGTCATTGGTGGCTTTGCCGTCCCACCTCCTTACTAATAAAGATCCATGAAGCCCGGAATGTAAAGCTTCAAGACTAGGAAACTGGCCATCGCCCGGATCGTCAACGTAAAATGGGTGACGGCTAATCATTCTAGTATCAGCTTGGAAACAACGCTGCTGAATCAAACAGCTGAATGGTTTTGCGGCATCAGCAGCATAGCAATAGTCACGTTTGCTTGATTATACGTGGTTCCAACGGTCTACATCAGCATTCAGCCCAGGGATAACGAGATACATGACCGCCGAGCCGGATGACAAAGGAGTCGTCAAGGCAGGACTTACCCAAAGAGATTCGGGGTCTCAGAGGACTTCGGATCCATGAGGACCAAGGGTAGGGGTGCGGGCGTCGCGTCCCAAAAGAGGGCTTAGGGCTGTAGGTTGGTTGTCAAAAGCTCAGTTTTTGTGCAGTTCTGTGCTTGTACCGGCAAGGTTTACATTGATGATCCAGATGTCGCCAATGCCAGCAAGGACAACATATCAGTGACGAGACTCGGCTTTCGACCAGGATGCCAAATCCTGTCCACGCTTTTGTGCGAGAGCAGTGGCAAACTCAACAAAGATAGAAGTGACGAGTGACGGGGCGTTTTGTAGTTGCGATCCTCCTCTCAGCACTCAGAGCGAACTATACCCATCTAGGCCCCGTAGATACCCAGAAGCACATGTGACTCATGCATTCCGTAGTCTTGCGGCCTTGGCAGGTTCAGCATGAGCACGTACACTGTGCGGGTCGCATCTTCGCAACTCGGCCTCGAGCCAGCCGTCCGAGCACAGCCGTGCATCAGCTCACATGAGCCATAGTCGAAAGTCCTTAAAAGGTTTTATGTAGGGACTGCAAGGGTTATTAAGGGGATACTGGGAGTTTAGACTATGGCTCAAATGATTACTGGTCATCGTCATACCTGTTGCAGTTGTTGATGGTCTTGCTACGCTGTCGTGGTGATCTACCTGCCTTGCACAGCCGCGTGGTGGGAATCCGTGCTAAGCTGACTTGCCTTTCCTTCAAACCTGAAACTGGTTTGTCTAACCCGGTGAAGCTAGTTCAGGAGCTGGACGTATATGGATCTCCAAATGCTCCTGCCAGCCGTGACAGACGCCTCAATGCTTTCTCTCCTGGGAGCCGAGAACAACACAACAAGGCAAGCCCCAAAACTTTGTAAACCTTAAATCTGAAACCCAACACATCCAACCCCGTAGCCTCCTAGTCCACTCGGCTGTTTTTGCGGGGGTGGGCTGCTGAAATCGTGACAGTCCATGAACCCTCAGGCCTTCTCTGGTTCTTGGCCCCATAGAGTGCGGCGTCATCGACCCCGAGGCAGAAAGTCTTGGGAACGGTTTGGGCACTAAGGGTTTGACGTACCCTGATGAACCAAAGGGATATAGCACTGATTGATAAACCCGACAGGGATCATAGACACGTGAGTGGTCCAAGAGTCGAAACCTGTGACAGTGGGAACAGGTTTCGAATGGAGCTTGGCGCAAGATCTCTTTTGGGATGGCTTGTGGATCAAGGTTGTACCGATCCTAGTAGAATTGTCAGTAGCATTCTGCCAGTTTTTGATCTTCAGCAAGGAGACCCAGTCGATAAACTTTCAAACAGTTGACCGGGGAATATCCACGCAGCTTGCATTTCCTAATCCCGCCACATCTCGTCCCACACCTTTTAGGAACCGGATAAGGCCTTGAACTTTGAAGTAGGCCCGCCTTCCGCTTCATGCCATCCAGCACAAGCCCCTACACACGCAAGCTGTCTTGCTTGCCAGCCAGCCCCACAACTGCCGCTCCCGCAAAGAGTCGGTAGTAGACTCACTTGCATGGGTAACAGTCACACCAGCACAGCAACAATGATCACGGGCAGAGGCATGCGAACAACAGCCGCCCGCAGCGATGCTGCCAAAACATATGACAAGAAAACAGTACTTGGTAGCAACTGTGAAGAGAAAAGAGACTTGTCAAGGAATAGTAGCGTGGTAGTTAGGGAAACTTCAAATGCATTACGATGATGGCCATCATGTACCCGGCACAGTTCAGAAAAGTGTTCAAGAAGTAGAAATAGAAGGATGCTGCCAACAAGGGATGTTAGCAGGACGGGAAACTGCTAGGCCTAAAAGAAGATCCTGCAAATGAAAATGTTGGCGATTCCTTGTTGGTCCTCAAGTACCTACATCCCAAACCCTACCTCCACAAATCCGTGTATCTCGAGAAAGGGTGTTGCTCCTAAGCCGTTGATCTTTCGGTTGTATAAGATGTGTCCAGGTGAGCCCGAGAAGCCCTAAACCCTGAGTCTGTGCCGGGGTAATTATTACTATTACGATTGCCTTTACCATCTCCTTATAATAGTAATTTGTCAACTGCGAGGAGTCCTCTTGGCGACTCTCACAGTCGCTTTGCTCAAGTAGCCACGAGTTTGAGCATGGAGGATCCTTCAGGGGAGGGGTAGCTTGAAAGTATGCTTCTCTGGGAACCTAACCAGGTGGGTGTGTAAGATCTTTGTGGGCCACAGGGAGACCTCAAGTTTGATAGTGGAAATGCATCGCGGCTAGGGAGGAAGCCCGGGGTCAACGAGAATCTATTGGCCGTTATCCTGTGCCCTCCATTTCTGATGCGCAACAGATTTCTGCAGATGTTGTAGCGTGTCAGGACAACCCATTAATCTTGTATATCCTGTATATCCCCAGGGGCAAGCGGCTGACACTTTCCCTGGTCCTGTCTGAAGCCGGCAAGAACAACTTCCAGCAGAAAAAGCGCCCTGGATGAGTAAGCTGCAAGGTCCTGCAGGGGTTTTGCTCTGAAGGTATCGACAGGGTTCTAGTCGCATTTGAGCTGCTCGTAGGATGGCTTGGTCAGCGCCAGGAGTTTCTCCGGCACCTCTGGACATTGAAATTCTGAGGGAGCTTTTGTAAACAGAGGGCCTCAACATGGACTGCAACATACTGCCATCCTTATGACGATGACTCCGAAAAAACAGGCCCCGAATTTTTGGAAACCCCGCTTGTGTTTCTTGCGTCTTCCTGTCATCTCTGGCTGTGTTGCAATAACCTTGGAGCGGATGACGCAAGGGCGATGAGAGAGAGCAATCTGAGTCCAACACCTGTCATTGAGCCCTCTGCATTGTATGACGTAATGTAGAAGGGGTTGAAGAGATGATAGAGCCAAGTTTGGACAAACAACGTATTGCCGGGCGGCTCTGCAGCTTGGTAACTCTTCGCCTGAAAAGCCGAGTACACGGGCAAAGCATCGACTTATCTGCGCAAGTGATTCTCAACCCTGACAGCTCATCCTACTCCGCAAACCGGACATTCAGAGGCGCTGGGAGGAGTTCGAGGCAAAGGTGAAAGCTCAGAAGGAGAAGAAGAAAGAGGCGGCAAGATTACAGGCTGTTCAAAATGGGGTCTGCAAGCCTTGCAAACTTTACACCTTGCTGTTTGCTGCAGTCATTGCAAGACTTCGGATTTTGAGTTGAAAGGTCTTCTCAGGATAAAGTCCCGTCAGCGTCGGGAATGCTACAGATGGTCGCACAATACACCCGCAACAAACATGTAACGATTGGCTTCGGCGGCTCAGCAACGAAGTCAGGATTAAACCAAAATTAAGCTGTGAGGATGTATCCACACGTTCCGGATCTCAGGGCTTGGCATGAGACCGAACTCTGCGCAGTCGCCAGATCTTATGCCCCAACAGCCGCAAGACCTTAGCTTGCAAACCCTACCTAACCTGAGGCCTTTCAAACCCAAGGACCCCGAACCTAACACCACAGGCACTAAACTTGACATCCCAGAGAAGCCCACTCCCAACATTGCCCTCAACCTAGGCGCTTGGAGCTCCAAACCCCAACCTTGCAGCTTGTTTGTGGGGGTGAAGGAATAGGTCATAGGCACACAGGGGTATGACAGAGCATGTTATGGGATACTGACACGCGAGAAGTGGAAGGAGGGCGATGATGTCGCAGAGCCTCCAGCTCGACCTGCGCCGGTGGCGCCTGCCGCTCCGGAGGGGTGAACTGACTGCAAAAAAGCAGGTTTTAGGGTACATCAATATTGGGGTTATATAGGGATAATGGAAAATAGAATGGAAACTATAGGGATTATATAGGGATTATATAGGGGCTATTATTAGGGTTCACTGTTTAGGGTTCAGCAACAGCAGCAGCAGCAGCAGTGGAAGTGGAAGAAGTCATCGCCGCCGTAGCGGTGGTAGTGGCGGCGGCGGCGGCGCGGGCCCTGATGGCAGTTATGAGTAGCAATAGAAAGAGGCATGCGATCACAAGCAAGAACAAGTACAAGCAAGAAGCAAGGAGTGTAGTAGCAGCGGCATCAGCAGCAGCAAGAGGAGGAGCTGCAGGATTGGCACTGATTGTCGGCGAGGTACAACAGAAGAAGTTATGCCGACAAAGATGGCAACAGTTCGAAAGCGCTTAAGGTAAGAACAGTTCGTTTTGCTTAAGGCGCTCACTGCTAGTAGCAAAGGCAGGGTGGATGTTGCATATGGCCTGTAACCTAGAGTCATCGGGACGGGTCGGGGTGCAATTGAAAGGCTGATGTAAGCTGCGGATGTAGGCTTCCTTGATAAACAGCAACAGCGTCTCAGGGAGGCTTCCCTGAAGTTTTGCTTGTCACCTTCTAGGTAGAGAAAGCCAGCTGATGGTTGCCCAGATTCCTGTCTCGCCCCACGACAACCTAATGAAGCCCAATACGGCAGGCCTCCACCGATGATGCCCATAGACACGCCTGGCGCATCCTATCGGAACCTTGGGCTGGCCGGCTTGGTTGCACTCTTGGCTGTTCTGATTGGCCTTTGGCTTTCCAGCCGGCAGTGAGGAAATGGTCCCGGAGGATCCAATGTATAGGCTTAACAAGACAGCCCACAGCTTTAGGTAGCGTTGACCTGGTCGGGGGATCCGTCGGGATGCAAGCAATTGTGCCTGCTCTTTGCTGTACATATTTCTTTGCAGACTGGCAGGCGGCACATGTGCTGCCAAAGTGGCGCACGATGCAAAATCTGTTCTATTAGCTATAGCCTTGCTGAGCTTGCAGTTCCAGAGCCCCTGCTCCAGCTTACCCTCGCCCCGCTGAGATCCGCAAAGACAACTAACAATGTGATCGAGGAGAGGTTTGAGCGAGTGAATTGGGCTGAGGATAGGAGAAACTCCGAGTCAAAGGCTGCAGGCATCCGTCAAGGTACCGTGCCAAAGACTTCCGGCATGCGCGTTGCGCGGGAAAAAAAGCTCCTGAGTGGACTACGGATCGGAGTAGGCTTGCTTATAGCTGTCGAGAAGATTGTCCTGATGAAATTTTACTTGGAGGGTCTCTGGGATAAGTCTCTAATAGCAATACTAGTAATACTAGTAATGAAAGTATCTGTTCTGGAGCTCTTCAGATGCCAGCCTTAGCTTTCTCCAACTTCCTCGAGAACGTCCACCTTTTGCTCAGGTTGTTAACAGCAAAAAAAGGATTTGGGGCACCTCAGATGGTGCTTGTAGTATACACAGTCAGTAGAAAAGAAGAAGAAATTCTGAATCCCTAAGAAGAATGCTTTCAGCTGCGTCTTTCAGGCTCGCACAACTTGCCGCGTTGCCGGGCACCTGGCATAGTTGCAGCAAAATTGTTAAAAGCATTATGGCCACAGCTCAGGGTATTTGCTCGGCCAGAAATTCAACTACGGTTCTTGTGGGCGCTGAAGTTTCAAGGGGGGCGTTCTCAAAATTTCGGTTCTGATAAATACTCCGATGTTGCGCGGTCTCTTTGGCAAAGAAGATGCCATTTCGCCACATTTGCGGGGGATGAAGCTTAGACAACATATTTTGTCCAGGCTTGAACCCATTACAACAAGGATGATGGTAGCCACGACTGCTCCGAGTTTGACAAGCCCCAGAGTTATACATTACCATTGATTGGCTGCTGTACCGGAGCAAGAGGAAACTTCGTTTTCACAACTCTCAGTGCTTGCCCAGTCGGTGAGCGGGCACGTGACGAAGCAACGGCAGTTCCATTCGAATCTTGGGGCCGCGGGCTTAGAAGGCAAGACGGCCTGCTTGGCTGATGAGGCTGAGCTTTGGTCATTCAGGCTCTTGCCTCTCTTATGTTTGTTGACTTTTCACCAGTTGCAACTGGTAAAGAAGTTGGGACTCCCTTCTGGCGGCGCACTGTTGAATGGAACCATCAGTTGGTTTGTCTGCTCGGTTTGCCGGTGGAAGCTGCTCGAAGAAGTCTCTTCTTGATGTTGAGAGTTGCAGGGGGCTCTGAAATTGTTGTTTGATGCTTTCACTGATGTTAAGCAGGTATCCCAAGTACGATGCATAGATGCTAGCGCTGCTAGCAGGAATGTCAAACCATTTTTGTACAGCGTTCATCTTCCTGCACAACACATCATGTGGCAGCCTGGGTCAAACTGTTGTTGAAGCTACCCTGCACGCCTCGCTTCTTTACCTGGCTACCCAAGCCATCCCAAGCCCAAATAATAGAAGTACGTTACGGAAGTTCCTCCGTGAAAATTCTGCAGTTGCTGGGCCATGGACCCTTCTAAATGCCGTTTCCTCTTTAGCACTAAAGTTTAAGCCTGAGGCACCTCGCCACCCTGTTGGCATGGCTTGGAATGGGTCTCCGGGGCCGAGATCTTGGGGGCTCGGGGTTGAGGGCTTATGGAGGCTGACCAGACCGGTGCTGAAAAAAGGGATCTAGATAGGGCTCTGAGTCCTTAGGGTTCCCCTCCTCAAGAAATCTCACATTCATTGAAGGGAGGCTAAAAGTTCGTGAGGTGTGCAGCTGATAAGTCTGGAATTAAGGGTTACTGTGAGGGCCAGTTCAGGTTCCATGGGCTTGTCCACAAACGGGCAGTGGCATTAATTTTCAGCTTGGAACATGTGAAGACGGGGATAATGCTTGATCCCATGTTTTTTTGTTTTTTGGGGGGCAGCGGGGCAGGGGATAACAGCCTGGCAGTAAAAGATCCTTAATCTTAGACCCAATGAAACTCGAAGCCTTCAAACATCAAGGTTCAATTGAGACTATATCAAGATTTGTAACCATTCTGAACCCAAACCCTTTCCCCACCACCAACCTCGGAACCCAGACCGCAAACCCAACATTAATAACAGCAGTAAAAAAAGTTGTAAGAATGGGAATAATTGTAGCTGCATTAATTCCACTTGTAATAACGGTAATAATGGTACTACTAATGATACTAATAATCATACTTGAAACACGTTTTGATCTTGAGGAACATGAGCCTGGCCGAGGGCACTGGATGCTGGGAGCTCTCAGTTCTCAGGGACTGGCTTGCTTCTACAGTGGATACAGGGTTTGAGGGCTTAGGGTTTTGGGGTTCAGGGTTTGGGGTATATCCTGGATAGAACCTTTAGAGGGGATAATATAGGGGTTATATAGGGTTCAGGGTTTCCCAAAATTAGGGGTACCTTTTTGGGAGGTCCCCATAATAAGGATTATGATGGTTGCTTCTACGGTGGATGCTAAAAATTCCTGCATGGCCCTAAAGACCGTTTACCTTGGGAATTATGGTGCCATAGTATGCTAAGGTCAAGCAAGGTTTTTCGTATCAACGGTATCTTTCCTATTGAGGCTTTTCTATCAGGAAGTTGTAGAGAAGGCATGTTAACGAGTCATAGGACGTGGGGGGAGCGTGCCGATTTCAAATGCAAGTGAGGTGTTTGCACGGGCAATGTGCCAGCGCGTTCCTGTTTACCAGGGCTTGCAATGGCGGCAGCAGCAGCAGCAGCAGCAAGACTAAGAAATCACGATACTGGGCCAAGCAAGGATAATGGCATAGCTTCCACCGTTGCAGCCGTCAACCCTACAACCCGGTAGAGTAGTATTCTATAGGGGATACTATGGTACCCAATATAGAATAGATTATCTCCTCCTTTTGGGTATAGTATTTATATAAAGAATATAAATCCTACTTGGTTCAACCACCCAAAAAACGTTATTCAATAGTGATAACAGCCACACCTGTCGGAGCACGTAGTATCCAAAGTCCCTCGGCATGAGGCGTTCCACTCCGGAACAGCACGGTGAAGCTCTCACCCATGCAGGTCAGAGAGATATGGGGGTTTCCCAAAATCACGGGTACCTTTTTGGGAGTCCCTATAATTTGGATTATAGTATTTTGGGGTCTATATTGGGGTCCCATTATTTTGGGAAACTACCATTGTTTCTCCTGTTTTCCTTGGACTTGCTAGCAGAACGCAAGTCTTCAGTCTTTCTGAGTGCGGCATAATCTTGAGAGTTTCCAAACCTTAGAGGATGGCAAATCACTGGCTTAGTGTAATTTTCAATAATTGTCGAAAATTGTGAAATTAGTGTATGAAAATTTGGTGCAAAGCAGTGAAAAATTGACAGAATTTGTTGACAAAACTGAATGGACAATTCATGTTGATGAACTTCTAGAAATTTTTGTATCTTCAATAAAAAAAAGACCTTTGTTCCACCAAACTCGTGGATTTTCATAAAGTGCAATAGCTTTCCAGGTTTTATGTGAAATTTGGAAAATCATGAAAAAGGTTGGAACTTCGGTATGTTCAATAACAATGTGCTCGTTTTCCCTTAAAGCTCGGGTCTTCATAGATTTTTAATGAACTTCATATTCATAACTTTATGAAAGATGTTTGCAAATCCATGCTTTTGGTGAAAATTGAGGCAACATGAATGGAACTTCGGGCTACTTTTGGAACTTCATCATGTTCCTCAAAACCTCATTTTCACAATTTTTCGTACGTTTTCATGATGATAAATGAGGAATTTCTTGGGTTTTCGAGGAAATCTGCTCAGTTTCCTCCTTTCTCGTACAAACCCAGGAATTATGTAAATCTATGTTTTAAGCCTGAAGTTTTCAGGAAAAATAACGGAATTTCAGTTAACATCCTGAAATTGTCTCATTTTTCATTTTTTCCGTGGACAATGAGGATATTCCTGGGCTCTCAACTGTATTCATGTTTCGTCCATGGTTCGCCAAAATCTTGGAATTTCATAGAGTTTTTCATGAATCGATGAAAAAGGACTAAATTCAAGAGTGTATTTCTGGCCCTCCAAGGGCAAAACTGCCTCCCCAGCCGCCTGGCTACCAGCTCGGTTTTTTGGCCCAATTTTTCATACCTTGCCATGAAATTGCTATAGGTTTGTCACAAATCTAAAAGGCTCATTTCCAGATTCATAGATCCATGTCATACATGTTTCATAAGTAGGTAAGTTTTAAAATCACCTCATCTTGCAGGGGCGGAAACTCTCAAGCATACTCCCTGGAGGTCTATGGCTTAGGGTCTACCAGCTTAGCACTCAGCACATCTTGGGTTCCTTCAAACCTTCATAGAACCATGGGTGGGCATCAGGAATTCAGCGCATCACGTTGATAAATGGGTTCAGGTTTGCGCGGCAATGGCAGAAAGCCCAATTTGCTTCTGCCCTGCGAGTTGATAATTTGATAAACCAATGTGAAAATTGTCTCGGAGAATGGAAGATGTGTCAACGAAGGGTTGGATTCGAGGGTGAGATGGTGAGCGTCAGGTGTTTGGAGGTTCTTGTCTGCAATTGAAGCCAGAACTTGCGGAATTGCGGTTCCGAACTGCATGCTTCTGAAAGTTTATTGGGAACTTTGCTCTGCTAAACCTCAGGCCATGACCAGAAAGGAAGCTCTGTACAAACACGAATCCTGACTCCACTGGACAGGTAGAGGCTGAGAGTCCTTGCAGCATATTGTACCCAACACCCTTCTGGCTCCAAATTTTTCTGTCGATCAGTGTCTGTCGCGGTGGGCTACATCACGCAAAGTCCTCCGCGCTAGTTAACTCCAGAGACCCCAAAGCCA